CTCTCTCCCCCTCTCTCTCTCCATCTCTCTCTCTCTCTCTCTCTCTCTTTGTAGTACTGTTTGAGCTGATCTAGTAGAAACTTGAAAAAATACTATAAATATATCTTACATGACATTGTGCTGATTGTGAGTTGTGCTTGGCATTGTCGCAGTCTGTTTGAGCCTCAGACAGTCTTTCCTCCAGTTGCTGGACCATCACAGTAGGGTTTGTTGTCTGAACAAAAAACATCAAAGCTTGCTTTTACTCTCAATTCTACATATTGAAGATCACTTTTATTCTCTCTATGGATAATTAATTAAACGATGTAAGCGTGATGAATATACGTCGATTCATTTTAGATTACAAACTATACACTACCGCTACTGTATTTATTTTATTATAAAACAAGATAAATTAATTTTCTTAAAGTACATGCACATACAGACAACTCGACAGTGACGCCAAAAAACACTGGCTTCAATTTAAGATATTCATGAAACTGGTTGATAATTTTAAATACATTTAATGCAAAGTTCGCTTGATTAGTTATTTTGAAATGTATTTCATAGCATTGTAAACGATTTATTTCCAAGGGAAAACAATGTTTACTATCCCTCAAAGATGGTTCACCTTAAGCATGTCTGTCATGACACCAACTTTTCTCTGCCAATATAAACACTGAAATGCAAAGCATTCACACATTTTCACTATCAAACGGGTCATGCTCCTAGATTAATAAATTAGCACTAGACATTTAGAAGCAGGCGGATTGCAAGCGTAATTTTAAAACACTCAAGCTTTAAGCTGGTTAATGGAATCATCAGTGTACACATCTACACAAAGGTTAGTTTCGGTTCAAGTTTAGTGAAGCTAGCAACAACATGCTGCGACTGCATTATTCAGCAAATTCGCTGCCGTTAGTCTGGTGTACACGCTGGGAAATTTCCTACCTGTATGCATTCACTTGTATTCGCTGGCTCTCTGTTCTCTAGCTCGTCTAGTCCGTGATGAAGCTGTGTAAGTAGACTGCTTACTTGTCTGGTATCCTGTAGAGACGATCACAGACGATATGCAAAGACGTTTTGCATAAGCAAGCATTCATCATTAGTGTTGGACCACACTTTAAGCTTTCTCATATAACGTAATTTGTAAATTCCCCTGAATGGTAGAAACTCCATAAATAAAACCGTGCCACCCATGCCACGAATATGTCTCTACATGTGTATGCATATTTACATACAATAAATGTGTAGATATACTCGGGCTACAATTAAAAAAATATATGTTTGCCCTCACCCTACTGAGGCTGAAAAGTTTGGGTAGGTAGGTAGACGCTTTTTTGAGGGGGCTCTTTACAAAAAAACAACAGGGTCTACACACGCACATGTGCGCGTGTGGAGAGACACCTTATATGGAAAATGATTGTTGCACGGGACACATAAAATATAGCCCACACAGAATAAAATATAGAGAGACAAAATGTAAAAAAAAAAAAAAATGGGAAAGATCAATAAATTTTTTTGGCGGGTCGGTCGAGTGAGGGCAAACAAACAATATTTTTATTATGGCCTCGTGGTTACACGTATGGACCGATACTTCAGATCATAATTTCTGTCTGTGAGCCCACACTATTTCATTGTTTTTCCATGCAACTCTGTATACAGTGTACCATCGGTAGCATTCTGATATAACTCAACAACATCATTGCTTAATACCTGTATATCATCGTTGTGTCTTTCCGCCTTTAGATTTCCTGAATCACTGAGCTGCCTGCTTAACGTTTGTAACGTAATGTCTTTGAGGCCGACATCTCGGACGACCTCGTTCAAGGTCAGCTGTAGGTCGTACACCTGTCTGTCTCGCATCTTCAGTTCCGTGCACAGGTCGGCGATTTCGTCCCGCGAGTGCTGAAGCTTGAGCTGAAGTATGTCATTGTCCCCCGCACGGCTACAGTCCTGCATCCGCTCATCACAGCAGTTGCTCTCTTGCGATGTCATGTGTTGCGTAACAACATTCAACTCTTTACCAATGTCAATAGCCTGAAAATTTAACATACATGCATTTAAAAAAATTATTGAAATTGTGATGTTCTATACCTATAGGTACAAATGCGGATGTGATGATATTTACTATGAAATTTGTGAGTATAAATCTGAATCGCCATTCCTTCGTAAATGTTAGCAATGCTTGTTTTGTGCATCTTTACATTGTTTTCAGGTGGGCAACATGTCACAACTATGACGGTTTACAAACAATGAGAGAGGAACTCGTAAGAACTCATAACTTAGAACATTCATAGAGCTATTTTACCTTCAGTGGGTTCCTAAAGATTTTACCATCTTCTCCTGAGTGCCAGTTATCAGTCTGAATGTTTTGAGTATAAATGACGTATTCCTGTATAAAATAAATTGTATTTTCTTGGCGTGGAACGAAAACATTACCAAATTACCTACAGTGACATACACACGACATTATATACATTCAATATTACAAAGAGATGACAAATAATAAATGCTTGCATGTTAATTTTCAAATTTAACCTTCAGGTAGATATTAGAAAAAGTTTAAGTGGGACATTCAGCATATATTTGGTAAATTTATATCATGACTCATCATAACAATTCATCTCCACAGGTGTGCTGATGAACATAAGGTTCCTTCTGCTAGTCTCTTGAGCTATATAACGCTCTTCTTTGTTGCTATATGATGGACTTCATTGAGAGAGTGACAGAGTACAGTAAGTAGCATGTAGTAAAATATGCCATGTTCTTCTCTTGGCATGTTCATTATACAATTACTTCATTAATTATAAAACATTATACTGTTGTGAATAATGCACAAGTACAGCCAACAGCTGCATGACTATTGAAAACATATCCTAAAATCATATGGTGTAATTTCGAGTATAACAAAATTCCAACAGATAGATTTAAATACCTTTCAGTACAAGTTATATGAATAAGGGATGCATAGAACTAGATTATGAATGTATACATTTTTGGTTTTATTGATTCTAAGACTTAATTTCAACAAAAACGTGGTAAAATGTATATATGTGTGCATGTGTGTGTCTGTGTGTGTCTGTGTGCATGTGTGCGTGCATGTACGTGCGTGTATAGTACTATTTTTATGGTATCCATCTATAGTACCTTGACCAAATTAGCAGTTTTCTGTAGTTTCTTTTCGAAAACTTGGACTCGCTCACTGGCTTCTTTCTCCAGCTCATCTACGACTTGAACCAGTGAAAAGTTCTGCTCCTCTAAATCACATATGTAGCACTCGAGCACACGCACCTTTTTCTGTTTCAAACAAAACATTTGCATCTTTTAGTGAAACATGACATTCCACTCCCATCACTGCATATCAAGGGTTTAGCTTCATGCCATATATTTCGGCACTGAGCATACATGCCGGGAAGTGGGTGTCTGACAATCAGGCAATTACAAAATTACTCTGTTTTTAGGAACATGGCATTGAAAAAACCGAATCATCACCCAAACAAACCAAGTCAATAGTGTCAGAGATCATTATGCATTTGATGTGAATATATCAGGTTTATTATTCATTAAATAATAAGTTAGGAGAAATCTCAAGTGGGTATAGGTAGGAAGTTATAATTTTTGCTAGCTATACATACTATTACAAACATTTACACAAACACTACTCGATATTGATGTGCTTCCTATACACATACCGCTGTGCATTCTTCTTTGGTGCATCCAGTCGTTTCTTCAATGCCTTTTAATTGCTCCTGGTAGATTTCTTTTATGCGTACGAGAATGTTGTGCATATTAGCTGGCGCATCTTCGTGTTCCAGATTACAATGATTGACAAAGTCATTTATGTCTTGGTGTACCAGGCTGCTCTCAGGTTCTTGCTCTGCCATGGCTATGCACAAAACAGCAATGAGAGAAAAGGAATCAGGAACTAGATTAGGGGCATGTAGTGTTATGGTAGTGACGTGTAACGTGTGACATCAAAAACCTTCCCTACAGTAGCATATTGTTTTAAATTATAGTGGGATGCCAAACTGCAGGTATAGATTGGAGTTGGATAATGTTTAGAATCAGTGTGCTGCTGTTTTTTGTTCGTGCTTCAGTTGTTTAAATTAAACTCAGAGCTGTTAAAGAACATAAGGTTCTGATTTTTCTGGACAAGTTCCAAGCGGATTTAGCGTGTACTAAGCGTCGGGAGTGTTTCCCATGGTTCGAATGCCATTCCATTCGAATGCGGTTCCCATGGCGCAGCTCTGTGATTGGTCAATTTTCTTCAGCGCTCGTCGATCGGGTCGGATGGCCCCGCACACTATCCGAGTCGCGTCGTAAGCCCTCGCACACTATCCGACCCGATCTGCTCCCGATTCAAAATTCGAATCGGGCCAAAATGACCTCCCGAGCCAATCTTAAACCTCCCGAGCCAAACTAGAACATCTCGATCCAATCGTAAGCCTTCAAATCGCGCTCGGGTCGGATAGTGTGCGGCTAGCATTAGAAACATCTAAACTTGCTGCCCTAATACTGACCTGTCAATGTCTCAAAATTATTCAAACGTCATGATAACAGTTAAATTTTAATTACGGTCTAACCATAATTACAGAAAAAACGAATACGTTTTTGGCCTACCTAAATAAACCTAATACCTACCAACATCTCATTAGATTAATATAATCTAATGAGATATTGTTGCACCACTCCCATATAATTGCTTATGGACTGTGTAATACATTCCAGCTTTGTTTTTGAATGTAATGACGTAGATATCGAATTATTTAACCTAGTATAAAACCTAGCGACACGGGTCATTTAACTTAAGCAGCATCACGTCATAGGTTATTTTAGTCGACAAATAGCAGTCAAGGCAACAAGCGAAGGACGCCACCCAGCCATCCCGAGAAACTGAGTCACTGGAACACGAGTAAAAGTTATCACCCACGACGGCAGAGTGACAGCTAGTTTAGTACGTATAGAAGGACATCACAGTTTGATGTCGCATGCCGACTGATGAAGAACAAACAACGAATGCCGCTGACAAATGTGAACTATGTGAACTATGAGAACATGAATCGAACTGCCGTGATTCCCACACCAGATTCAAGAAGCATCCACAGCTTCTTACCTTCAGTCACCTATAAAAATGTTGGAGATGACGAGACGTGTTGCACCACCATCGTCAACAAGGCCTTCTGAGTTGACCACGCTCGGGCCACGCATACCTCCAGAAGCATAAATACCGGCCGATTTGGACAGAAATAGGGAGACAGTTCCACGGTGCCTGACAGTTCATGACGCTGTCAGCATCGCGCTGCTCTCACCTGCTCTCGTCACCACGCTACCGTCGCCGCTGGACATCACCAAAGATCGTAGAGTGCCGGAGGCCTCCGGCACTCTACGATCTTTGGACATCACTGACTGAGGACCTGCCTGCGACCTGTAGGACTCCATGCTCGTAAATATGAACTGCATTAATTTTGTAAACCAGTCGCTTGTCTGTATGTGCCTGAGATAATATAAGGTGTATAAGATGTATAAGAGTATGAGGTGTATATGAGATGTATATGAGGTGTATAAGATGTTAGCCTGCGTAGGCATTGTTGACCTGCGTAGCATTTGTAACGCGTATTTACTGGTTGGCCTGCGTAGCCACCCATGTATTGTATGTAATTGTCAATATGATGTTGATTATTAAGGAATAGAGTAACTGAAATGATTCTTTGGTTATAGTACAATATACTGTGTTTGGTTTAAGTGCAATAGCACACGTATCTGTTGTACAAACGAACCTGCATGGTCACACTATACGATCACACGTGCCTGCCTACGTAGAACACACGAGGTTTCTCTATATGAACAAGTTACAGTATATAGATTGCAGCGCATCATCAACCAAACAACTACACATTATTACCTTCGCCAAGGGGTTCGCAGGAGGTTATGTTTTCACCGGCGTGTGTTTGTTCGGCGTGTGTTTGTTGGTTTGTGGGTTTGTGTACAGCCTAACTGAAAAATTTATGGACGGATAGTCATAAAATTTTCAGGATAGGTCAGAAATGGGCCAACTTAGAATTGATGAGATTTTGGTGGTGATCCGGATCCAATTAATTAATTAATTAAATAAATAATAACATTTTCAGGATAGGTCAGAAATTGGGTAACTTAGAATTGATTACATTTTGAAGGTGATCCGGATTAGGTCATAATATGATATTGATATAAATGCAGACTTAGCCGGGCAGCCCCATGCAGCTGCTAAGTTCTAGGTTTGTAAGTTTCTATTCAATATGCATAGTCTATATTCCACATCTGTAGTGTAGCTTTTGGTTTTATAAACACTGACAAGGGTAATATTAATAACACCTTGTTCCTTGTTGCATGGGCATCCGTGTGAATAAGGTTTCACACGTTATTCGCTAAATATATATATCGTATCGTATAAGGGCTTTATCGATCGTCACTTATATTTATAACACTTCGGTGCTTAATCAATCACTCTTCACCACGGTGTAATTTATCATCTTTTGTGCTTAACTCTTTAGATTGGCTGCAAGGTGTCGCTTTACGGTATTGCATGAATGTGTTCTCGAGATAATAATATAATAATAGAGGTTATATATATATATATATTCATTAGTTTATATTTCCTTTTTAAAGGTGCAGATGAGATACCACCGATTACCTCTCCAGACAGCGTGAGCGGAGCCCCTACAGTAATATGCAGGGTGTGTCGGGCATCGATTGACATAGAAGGGAAAACTCATCAGCATGTAGTAAAGTGCCCTGCGTGCAACGAGGCCACGGTAAACTACATTATAAAAGTTTACGTTGAAATAAGAATTGCAGTTTGTTGTGTGGGTGTGCATGTGTGTGTGTCTAAAGAAGTATTCCAGATGTAACCATGGAATTCTGTTGATTTTCTCACGCACGCATGTAATTGACTAACTTGTATCATAAACTAATCACTTTTTCAGCATTACACGTCCGTTGAGACTGTAATGTGTTCCATAAATACCGAAGCGCATCTAAAGTCAACAACATTAAGATTGAATGTTGGAAGCCAAACTCGAAATCGCCACGTAAAAACATGGCAATGGCCGCTATGGGGATATTTATACATACTTTATGTTTACGTCCCAGAACTGATCGAGTGTATCTGTGTACTGGGGCTGCCTACGACACGCATAAATGACTACAATTAGCAATCAGGGACGAGTTGCTCAATTGCCTGACCTGCCTTCTGAAATTCCTGGGAAGAACCCTGCTCTGTGACTATATATGTCTGTTTTCTTTCAGCCAATAAGAAATGCTCCACCCGGAAAGAAATATGTTAGGTGCCCATGTAACTGCCTGTTGATCTGTAAGACAACGTCCCAAAGAATCGCTTGCCCAAGGCCAAACTGGTAAGTAAGCTTCGAGTGTCGGGGTGGTGTGTAGATTCAAATTAAAACTGAGTTATTTTTACCCCGTTCCAATATCAATGGTTAGCACATGAAAATGTATATATGCATACTTTTGTAAAAGATAAAAACAATCAATAGTTGCTATAAATAATGATTTGTAAATAAATTATAGATAATTAACCATGTTATACATTAGATTTTTAGCTCACCTTGACATCGTCAAGATGAGCTATTGCCATGGGGCGTCGTACGTCCGTCCGTCCGTCCGTCCGTTCGTCTGTCCGTCAACATTTGGCTACGGTTAACGATAACTTGAGAACTGTTTGACCCACATGTTTCAAATTGCATACAGTTGTTACTACTATGGGAGAGATGTGACCGTCCTATCTTAGAGCACGCCAGTTGACATACTTTCGAGCCACGCCCACTTTTTGGCAAAAATGGAAATGGCCATAAGTCAGTTCAGGTTCAACGGATTTTGCAAATTTTTGGTATGTGAATGAATAAGGACTGGCCCCAAAACATATCACAGGGGTTTTTATATTTTTTTAAATTATGCAAATTAAGTCGATTTTGGCAATTTCACTAAGCATTTCAGTGTCTGCCTACGGTCAACGATAACTCAAGAACAGTTTGACCCACATGTTTCAAATTGCATACAGTTGTTAGTCCTATGGGAGAGATTTGCACGTCCTATTTTGGAGCATGCCAGACTTGTCGCCAGTCGACCTACTTTCGAGCCACGTCCACTTTTTGGCAAAAATGAAAATGGCCACCTAGATTAATTCGATTTTGTTAAATTTACCTACCTACCTACCTACCTACCTACCTACCTACCTACCTAAACATACCTACGTGTAATATTGTGTTTTAGATTCTTCGTTACAGTAATTTGACTGGAATATTTTATTGCTTTTATTTGCGCCATAATTGAAAACCAAAATGGCGATCATTTAGGCATAGCACCATCTCTCGCCCAGATGTCAGACTTTTAGATCAGAAAGATTTATTTTCACATCAAAACTAACCCTGAAACAAAACAGTGAAATTTCTATTAGTATAAAACAGGGAATAAGGACATTTGATCACATTTCTGTTCGTCATAAATGAAACACTTATCAAATTTTAAATATCATCTCCCTCTTCTATTACACCCAAGGTGAGCTATAGTGCCATGGACACTTTCATTTAAGCGTGTTTTTTAATATTTTTTTCTACTTATTTTTTCTAGCAAGAGAATAATAAACCTTGGACCTGTACCGGTTCCCACTCCAATTACAAGTCCTACAGTGACTGGTCAGTGTAGGGTGGTGTGTGCTCACTGCATGGAAACGTTCCTGGTAATTATACAGCTAATGTACATACTTTTACCTACTGATTAGTGTTTTTATAACATCTTGTCTCATGTGTTCATACTATTTATGATATTTAATGAATCTTCATGCTGATAGAAGATGTTCATTTTACTGTTTATTATTATTTACTATGTTTAAGGTTTTCATGCAATCGTAATACCATATTTATTTTTTACTTTTAGTTTAGGACAACAACAAATGCTTTGGCAAGGTGTCCTCACTGCAGAAAAGTGTGCGTATTATTTATTTTACAGATAGTACAAATATATATCTTTTAGTTTATTACTTCATTAGTGTTGTTTTACGTTAAAAATGGTTTTTAATTAACTAAAGTATATTTTATTAATATAGTGTATATTGTAATGTAATAAATACGTTGTATTTATTACAACAAACGAAATTTTCGACATCCAGTCTTGAGCACAGTTGACGTTTGATACACTTGGTTCTACAGACCTTATTCCATACATGCAGCAGAATTATATAATTACTAAATTAATAATGTTATGTAACTAATTGCAGATCGACTGTCGGACCACAGTATGCAAGGAGAAACTCCCTACTCTTCTTTATTATCGCTCTCGTATTCATGGCTGCTGGAATCGGCGTTACAGTATGTATACACAGATCTATATACAACTACCCTGGCTGTAAGCTGATGACATGTATGATGAAAGAATCAAAGTAAAATCAGGGTTTTTTATACATAAGAGGCACAGTGGCGTACCGTCGTTGTCAAATTTAACATCGCCGTTCTGAAAATGCTCATGAGGATGGATGGATGGATGGATGGATGGATGGATGGATGGATTGATGGATGGATGGATGGATGGATGGATGGGTGGGTGGATGGAGGGATGGAGGGATGGATGGATTGATGGATACATGTATGGGCCCAAGCCTAGTTTAACACACCGGATAAGTTTAGCACATATATGTGAAAACACATTTGGAGGGTCCCAAACTATTCTTGATCTGATGGATGGGTGGATGGATGGATGGACGGCAAATATGCTAAGCTCTACTAAGATTACAGAATCAGAAGTACACAAACTTAATACACCAACCACAGAACGTACAGTGTAGGTATTTGTCACGCTTAGTTAATTACATACAGTGATACACCACACTGGGAGTGGGAGTACTAGTAGTAGTAGTACTAGTAGCAGTATTACTATATCACGCATGTTTTGTTTTCGTGACACTGTCAGTGACAGTGACACAGACAGTGACACTGACAGTGACACTGACAGTGACAGTGACACAGACAGTGACACTGACAGTCATTGAGGCTGAGAGGGTCTATGTCCCCCAGGGTACTATCGGAAGGTACCCTGGGTACGCCGTACGGTTCGATATATCGGAACGTACGGTACCCTGGTACTATCTAATATGCCGGACGTACCCGTACCTCGCCTACTCCACTAACGAGTCTAGGGAGTCGCCTACGCCTACTCCCTAACCCTAACCATATCAGATAGTTACCACTACCAGGGTACGTTCCGATATATCGAACCGTACGGCCTACCCAGGGTACCCTCTGATAGTACCCTGGGGGACATAGACCCGGTTCAAGGATAGAGATGATGTCCAGTACGGTGATTGGATAGGATGATGTTAGTTGATAAGATAGGACTGGACATCTTATCTATCCCTGAAAAAGGATAGAGATGATGTCCAGTACGGTGATTGGATAGGATGATGTTAGTTGATAAGATAGGACTGGACATCTTCTCTATCCCTGAGCCCATAGACCCTATGGCTATGACTATGACTATGACTATGACTATGACTATGACTATGAGCGTCATAGCCACAAGTTCCCATCTCGCTTAACACTACGTGGCGAGAGGGCGTCCTCCGCCGTGTAACTAGTCGGAGAGCCTGGTCGGTTTATGAGCGTCACTGCATGAGTCAGTCAGTGTGAACTCATCACTGACTACTCGACTATTGAGCATGAACCGATCGTAGTCATATAAAGCAACTTAAAATTAACAGATTGTTTAGCTACTCTGTGATAATTACGAAACGAAACTATCTTAACAATTATTAGTTTACCTGGTGTGGTGCACTGGTGGTTAATCACGATATTTACCTGCTAGCCACACTTGTTTTGATTTTGCCACGAATCCACGATGCTTCCCAACAGATGGCGCAGTGTGAACAAAGATGGAGCAGGACTACGGGGAAAAGGAGCCTCTTCTACATAAACCTGAAGATGCCGACAATGTACAGGGCAAAGCATTGCCGGTTACAGGTATATTAGTTCGATAAGTGCCTCGTGCAGTTTATAGTACTTCAAATATTGAGCATGTATTATTTAGTATTTTATAAACAACCGTTTGTCAGTGTACTGACTACTGTCACTGTGCAGTGCAACTCCATCCCTCAGCATCACTGCTGACTGCAGGAGTAGGACTGCGTGTACGACCGCTTTAATACCGCTCT